CTCGATAGCTATCCTAAAGGTGAGATGCACTTCTTTTGGATACGTTAAGAGCGTTGCTACAGCTTCAAGCTTTGCATCACAAGTTTTTATATACTTTGCATTTTTTTTTTAAATACCGAGAAATCTTTTTACATATTTATAATACATGTACTTATGTAAAAGTGCAGTTCCGTTCTTGGTATGAACTCGACATTTATTTTTATCCTTAACATGTGTCTACATTTGGGTTAAAAACTTTTTTATCTTACAGGAAATGAGAAAATCCACACAATTACTGCATCCGGGAATTACACTTTACGAATCGACTTGAAAGATTTCTCCGGAAATTCTCGATATGCAAGCTACAGCACCTTCAATGTCGGAAACGAGAAGTCTGGATATATTCTGAACGTTTCGGGTTACAGTGGAGATGCTGGTATGCTCCTTGCATCATCCTTTTTATGTTTATCATTATTTGACAGCAACGTAATGTTATATTCTTTATATGATTTCTAATCTCAACAATTTCGTTTGAATTAGGAGACTCATTTTATCCCCATACTAAGGCCAGATTCTACACTTTGGATCATGACAATGAGAAAAGGTGTGCAAATAGATTTAAGGTGGATGGTGGTACACAGGTTGTCACCGAGCTAACCTAAATGGTCTGTACTTGAGGGGAGAGCATAAATCAATTGCCGACGGTGTGAACTGGTTTGACTGGAAAGGATACAACTATTCCTTGATGTATGCCGATATGAAAATCAGAAAATTTAAAGTCTAAAGTATAACAAATATTAAACGGGTTAAATGGATGATGAGAATATCTTCTTTTCAAAAATGAATTGAAAAAGTCATGGACATGTTCATTTTGTTTGATTATTTTTTTTTTCCAAAAGTGTATATTTGTTTTTTTTTATGATCAGTTTAAAGAATAAAATATTGTTTTGAAATAAGAGTGTCAGATCATGATTTACCATTTCATTGCTACATGTAACAAACCAAGTAACAGCATTTTTCGTGCTGCCTCTTCTACAATTTTGTATTGTTTAATGAACCTTGATATTGAATATTATCTCCACAAGCGTGTAATTTATTCAATTCATTTGACATTATGGACAAACGATCAATGCAAACAAAATTTGGATGCTTGAATTGAGATATATTTTACACTTATTCTGTTTGTAAATGATGCAAATAATGAATTTCATAGATCTAATAATTTTTAAACTTACAATGACATAATTTCTCTTGCTATGTGTCTCAACTACCATGATGGTAACAGTCGGAGACATTTGAGAAATTTAGATTTTCAGCTACTTTAAAATGTCGAAATATGCTGAAAAGAAAAAAAAATAGTATTCACTAAAGTACAAGAGATATTATTCTATAAATATTTTTATGGTTGTCATGGCAACACAGTGTAACTAAGGAAAATCAGTAACTTAGATTCGGTTGTTGCTACTTTCTTCTGGAAAAAAAAACATGCACATTTAATAAGGATAGCAAATATGCATCCTTTGGACCTTGCAGCACAAACACGACAAGAAAATTGGAAGTTGGGATGATTGGTTATTTTGCGGTGTTACATAAGACAATGCCATAATTGTTGCTAAAATAATTTTTGCTGCATTCAGAATTGACTTGTCATTCAATCAAGAAAAATATTAAATGACTAACCTTGAATAGTACTTATAGGGTAAAACTAAATGTTATTGTCATATTTTGATAAAATTTGAGGAGGAAAGTAACATTGTTGCACAGTTACAAATAAGGAAACATGCTCGATTTTGAAAAAAATCAAATAAATTTAATATTCTGTGTACGAGCTTCTTGCATCCAGTTAGAAATTTTATGAAAGTCAGAATTAAAAGTCAGGTAAGCCAATAAATACCAATCATTAAAGTTTTTGAAATTTTCAGTTAGGGGTACGTATCCAAGGAAACAAAATATTTATAATGTTTTGAAACATACATTTTTTGCTTAATCCATACCGACGCTCTATTTAAAGATTTGAAATTTATTAATGGAAAAATTAGGGCCAAACGAACATCTTTGAAAATAATCATCAGTTATAACTAGAAAAAGGGCTTGTTTCCAAAACAAGGATCAGATTGAAATTTTAAGAGTGTAACTTTGAAGACATTCTATGGTATAAAAAAAATTGGCAACAAGTAACCACCAAATTAAATATCATAGTCTTTTCGTGGTATATGTTTCAAGGCTCTTTTCTCATTAATTTGGTCACATTTCATCCTATAATTGTTTTTTTTTTAATATTTACTCGTATGACTTTATAAACTTAAAATTCAATAAATATTTTTTTCTTTTGAATATTTTATAATCATTTTATGATATATAATAGTTGATTTAACAAATATGTTTACTTGGTATCTTGCAATTAATACACCTGGCCTTCAAATGTAGAAAAAAAATATGATTGCTTATTTTTTGTTTATTCACATATGTTAACTGTGGTGCTTTAAACATGTCAAAAATGCATTTTTGTAAACAGTACAAAGAGATGTCATGGTTTATTTTACACATAGCAACCAATTTTGCCCGATATGAGTTAAGGATATCAAGGAGTTTTCGAGGTTGCTAACATATTACTAATTTGTTAAAAAATAAAATTTATGATTTGTGTTCTATCCTATTGATAACAAAGATGATCTATTGATTGATTGATTACATATAGTTTAACGTCCCTCTCGAGAATTTTTCACTCATATGGAGACGCCACGACATGCCGGTGGAAGGCTACAAATTTTGTCCTATGCTCAGCACTTAGAGCTTTTGAGCAGTGGGGGATCCTTTTCGTGCCAACAACTACTGCGGCACGGGGCCTCGGTTTATACGGTCTCATCCGAAGGACCGGTCTCCACGTCCCGCATTGGGATTCGAACCCGCGACGTAAGGATTGACTCCATACTTTGCGACTCTAGGGCAGACGCTCTAACCACTGCGCCACTCGGGCGCCACTCTGATCATATATAACAATCAGAATACAGCTTAATACAGGCCTGTAGCAATGTTTTTTCCATGTAGGGGAGGGGTCCTCCGAAAATAACTCTGAGTACTTCCAAGAGAGATGATTTCAGAGCAACTTTTAACAACATAATAATTGTTCAGTATATGTTAATATTTGATCACTTAAAAAATGAAAGCTTCGGTCGAAGATAAAAATTACGAAGTCTTTATTATTGTGACTGTCTTAGAACAAAATGTCTTTTGTAATGTTATTATTATACGAATATGTAAATGTACGAACTGAATGATGTACGAGTTACTTTTATGTTGTGTCGTTGAATAAACGTTTCCTGTTTTGTACACACGTGTTGTCAGTTGTGAACCCACATTATAAGGCTAATACAAAACGATACATCTTTGTCAGCCTTATAAAGTATAAACTGCTAAGATAAAAAAAGGCAACTATGAAAATAGAAAGCTCTATTCTGAGATCTTAAAGACTTGTTCTTATGATAACAGTAATTTTTTTGGTTGTTTTTTTTATTAGAACATTTTAATCCTGATATAAGGAACATTATTGAAAATTCAAACATGCTACAAGTATAGATGCATATTGTTTTTTCGTTGTTGTTACTTGTTTGGTATTAATTTTTTCTAAATTTTTGTAAACAAAAATTACAACTATTGCACAGTATATTGTATATTTGACAGACTGTTTTGTATTTTAATTGTTAACTACATCACAAAAGATGAGAAGTAAAATGGGCATCGCAGTATGTGGAATGTTATTCACACATGTACCTGTGATAACTGCAAATATACCAGCTTCAACGGACGCATGTGGGACAGTAAAGAATTCCTTTTTTACACTTGTGAAACTTGCTACACAACTTGTCTAACACCAGGATGGTACTTGTAATTCACATGAAATTGCGAAAATTGGAGAAGGAAAAGAACATGGAATTATGTTAGAATATGTTGAATGGGCTACAAAAGACGATATCAGAGTCATAAAGCAAGATTTAAAGTCAATACGTGATTTAGTACAGAACTGTAGAAAAGGTAAACAAAATTTTGTTTTTGCATTTGAGCAATTTTAAAACATCTTTTTGCTTGAATATTTTTATTGCCTCCATTTTTTTTGTTTCGAATGGAGGCATGTTTAAATTTTAGCTTAAAATAAGCAACTTCATCGATATTTCCGATGTATAACGATATTGTTCATAGAAATAAAAACGCGAAAATAAGAAACATATATCGGGGTTTGTAATTGTACGAAACTCAACTTATATTTGTGTCCTTCCCAATAATAATTATAGTTTTCTTATAATGAAATATATGGATTTTACGTATATTTGTCAAAATATAAAAAAAAAATATGCAAAAACATTTGTCAAAGTAAAACCATTTTTTCACAGATAGGTGTAGTGTTTTTTATCCAAGAGATTGTCAGGACTTATTGCTACAAGGTCACAGAAAAAGTAAGGTGTACACAATTTTTCTAACGAATGGGTGGAGCTTCGAGGTTTTCTGTGATCAGGAAACAAACTGTGGGGGTTGGACGGTAATTAACATTTATTGAAAATAAAAGCGAGCATTTGTTTATATTTACCAACTCTTTATAATCAAACACTTATTGAATCCTTATTTAGGTGAATTATGAAAAAAGTAAATTGCATATCCGACTTCAATTCTAGGATTTAAAATTTTTTTCTATAAGTTTGAGGAATCAAACTATATTTATTTTAATCTGTCCTTTCAAAAAATGCTAAAAGCTTTTCTTGCCCTCAAGTGAGATATCATTTTTTATATTTAATGCCCGCATAATAATAATAATAAAAGACCGCATTTTTTATTTATTAAAGTACATTCGTGTTCTATCTCGTTATTGACCATGATATATTATAGTACATGTAATCATAAAGTTGAAAAATGCTAACTGACACATATCTCTCATAATGGCTATTCATTCAATCAATGAAAATCTTGATAAGCTTACTTAACCAAAAGAAAGTATCAGTGGTTTCTATTAAATTAGCAAATCAAAAAGCAGCATCTGTTCTTTTATCTATACATTTAACCCAAGGTTATACAAAGGAGACAGGTTGGGTCAGAAAATTTCTTCAAAACCTGAAATAATCTTGTTTAACATTTTCATTTTTTACGAGCTTTTATTTACATGAAATAATTAATTTTATTAATCCCTATATTTTGTTTTTCATGTTATAATAAAGGAAAGATGGAGGAGTCTTCTTTTCAGATGCATAAGCAATGTAAATGCCACTCGGCATTTCTTGAAATCAGAGTCATGTATAGGAATTGGAATGAAGGCTTTTTTCGTCATTTTTCTCTAACAGGAAATGACAAAATCCACACAATAACAGAATCAGGGAATTACACTTTAAGAATTGACTTGAAGGATTTTTCAGAAAATTCTACACATGCGAGCTACAAAACATTCAGTGTTGGAAACGAGGAGTCGGGGTATACTTTGAACGTCTCCGGTTACAGTGGAGATGCTTGTATGTCCCTTGCGTTATCATTTTAAGAATATCATAATTTGATTACGTCATTATTTTATGTAAGACAATATCTGATGACATAATGTTCTTAATCACAACAATGTTTTTAGGAGACTCATTCTCTTCCAATACTCAAGCCAAATTCGTCACCAAGGATCGTGATAATGAGAAAACCTGCGCAAATCAACTTAAAGGGGGTTTGTTGTACAAAGTTTGTCATCAATCTAATTTAAATTGTCTCTACTTGAAATGAAAGCATGAATAATATGCTGATGGTGTAAACTGGTTTGACTGGAAAGGGTATAGATATTCCCTGATATTTGCTGACATTAAAATTAGGAGAATATATGTCGAATTTTGAAGATTCTTAAATAGAATTGGAATTTAATAAAGTTTTGTCTTTTTTTTTTTTTTATCTCAAACACAGGATCTCCCTTGTTGCACAGTGGTTAAAGAGTCTACTCTAGGATTTGATCCTATGTCGGGTGATCGAATCAAACTGTGGGGTGTGGACACCGGTCCTTCGGATGAGACCGTATAAACCGATGTCCCTTTTCACAGTAGGTGCTGGCACGAAAAGATCCCCCGCTGTTCAGTGGTTCCTATTGACGAGCATAGGACAAAATCTGTAGTCTTTCATTGGCAAGTGGTGTCGTCTTCATATGAAAATTCATCAGAAAATTTTTGAGAGGGACGTTTAACAACCAACATACGATTCATTAATCTAAAACACTTGTACATGCGTTTTTTTTAAAACACATTTTTTTTATTTTTGGTTTGATGACAGTATTAAGGACAAGAATTCACATATTTTAAACATTGTTTAACTCGGACCCCATGCTAAGCTCAATAAATAATGTTTGTTTTAATATAAGGTTATCTTATCAAAAATGAATACAAACATGGTTAAAAAATGGCAATCACAGTTAAAGCAGTAGAATATTTTTTCACTGATATGTATATTTATACTCTACGAGAAAGGGCTTCAATGTGTTTGTCCTAATAGAGCAGGGGACCACATCTCAAACGGCCTCATGAAAAGATCCAGGCTGAGATTAAACGTTCCAAAGTGCATGGAATTCAAGCTTATGATGTTTTGACCAAGTGTTTTTCAACCACTTAGAGCAAGCACCCGAAAAAGCTCTTTACTGGAATATTTTAGAAATGCATCTTTCATTATTTCATAAAAGATTTACAACCTTTATTTGGTAGAGTTCCCAAATTTATTCTGAACTGAGTATTTCTTGTGTTTTCTTTTAAAATTAGATGTTTGTGTTGATTTTTGTTGTACATGTATATGAATCGTATTCGTTTACATTTTTGTTTGATTGCGCACATTGTTTGATATTAACAATAGAAAGCACAAAGATTCACAACATGCATGCAAAAAATATATATAATTTTTTGTTTACAAAGAACACTGAACGACATAAACGTCGTTTAAGTAGGGCTTTTTACTTTTTGATATAGGAAGTGATCGCTAATTTCTTTTTCAAGATTTATAATTTTTTCGTTTTTAATTAAAATTTTCCTTGATGTAATTTATAATGCGAGATATATCCACCTCAGCCAGAAAAGGATAACTCCAAAAATGATATTTAATTGGAAATACATGTAAATGAAGCTTGAAAATGATTTTTTTTTTCATGCAACAATTTTCAATTTATTCATTCTTATAAGATTCAAGGTTTTTGGAAATCTTATAAAAGGTCTTATAAAAGTTGACATTTGTACCCTAAAAAAAAAGAAGAAAAAAAGAAAACAGTTTTAGAAAAATAAGATGTTCCTGAATCCAGCCTTAGATTTCAATGCTTTTTAGCATGATATGAAATAAAAAGAGTTTTGTGGTGTCTTTTGATAATAGAAAGAGCTTTTTACACAATGTATTTTAGAACACATGACGGAAACAGAAGACAAAAAAATGTCAAATAAGTATAAAATCATGGCAATTTCTCTGAAAGCTGGATACATGTACCTATCGTTTCTTAACCCTAAGTATATTTGTTGATCACTTTGCAATTAGAAAATGCTCTGCGGATATTCCAATTTATGATGTTCTAAGAGATTCCAGTAAATAGTTGTTCATTGATCGTTTTATGATTTGGCTAATGAAATTAGCACTGTTAGTCGTCGTTTTATACTGTAAAGAATTGAACGATAACTAGAGGATAAGATAGAAATAAGAATGTTGTTGTAATTATATACACTCTGCATCGATTCATAAATTAAATCCTCATATTATTCTGTTCTTTTAATTGATTAAATGTATAACAAACAATCAGCACATGTAATTATGATTAAATACAAAAAAGAAATGCAAAGATCTCTTCCTTTTTTCTTAATCATTATGAATATTTTCTTTTACTATGAACTAAAATGTTACACATGAATGAGCTCCAACGTTTTACTTTAGCCCAGGCATATCAATTAAAAAAAAAGTTTTAGAAAATTATTTTTTTCGGTAGTGTCGATTTAATATATACAAATCAATATGTTGCCCTTGCTAAATTATACAGTAAACATCAAAGATAACATATCACTTTGTCGTTTCATTTTTCAAAAACGTTGATCGATTTCTTTATCCAATCAGTATAATAGAAAGATACAATCAATTTCGTATAATTCTGATTCAAGGTACGGACTTACCTTATTTCAAGGTTAAGTATTCAAAAGCTTTTGAAGATTGTGTGTATTTAATTTTAGTCGTCTGAAAATAAATCGAACGAATAAATTCCTCGTTCGAAAACTTTGCAGGGATTTAACAAGGTTAAGTGTATGCGGTTACTCTGATAAAGTGCTTTTATAACACCTAGTCAATAAACAGCATGATGTTTAGTTATCTCCTCGTTTAATGATGGAAAGGTAAGTAACTTTAAGAATTATGAATAATTGTTAGGTGTTGAGCATTTAAGTAATTTTTTCCAGGCCATATTAAAAGCATACATTAGCTCATTCTGATAAATTCCTACGTAAATCTAAGCAAGAAAAATTCCAAGATAATAAAAGCACAGTATCAGTTGGTTGGGATAGGAATGCAAACCGTTTTGAAAGTTATTACAGTAAAAATAAATTGTGGCTCCAAAATTATGTCAAAAAAAGGTTCAGGAAAATAGAGGTTTCGTTTTACTTCGAATGCACTAATGTCTTATGATTGAATTAAACAAGTGAAAGGGAAACATAACATTTTCTTTCTTTCATGTCGGTCAAATGCTCTACAGAGCTCATGTTTCTGTTATAATTATCCGAGTCAAAATAAAATTTTCTAATTCTGATTATATGTTAATATTTGTAAGTCTAAAATAGAATTTAGGACCTGGCCCCGAGGCCTTAAAACTTAGAAAAGCGCACTTTTGATCTTTGTCTCACTTTTTCCAAAGGATTCAAAAGCCGAAATTTCATTCTATTATAATACTTGTACTCAATTATTTTGGCGTAATTTATAACGTTTGATTGCGCATTTTATATTTTAGTGCCATTGGTTTAAGGAACTTTGATTAATTCAAGAGAAACACTTTAACTTTCTAAGATGCTTATTAACTTAAATACCGATTAATATCGAAATATAGCTAAATATAAAACATTTATTGTACATTTCTGTCCGTATGTTCTTGAAATATAATTCATGTTTTCAAATGGTTTGAAAATTAAAGTTACTGAAGATTACATCGTTAGAAAGCTGGATTGGTAGACAAGCTAAAAAGAAAAGGGAGAATGTTTTTAAGTTTTTGCATTTGATTTTAATTAAAACAAAACGTTCTGTTTAACAGAAAAAAAATACTTTTTCCCTAGAAAATGGGACTTCCTATGAATAAATTTACTAATGCGCTATTTAAAGAAATAAGGGGTTTCAAAGAATCTTCATCCTCAAAATGTCTTGAAAACTATTCGGATAAGTTAAAGACCAAGATACATTAGCATTGAAATCAAGATTCTGACGGTATTTAGAGAATTGTTTCCAAGGAAAGATCAAACCACGAGTTATTTTAAGTGAAACTTCTCACTCTGGGAAAACTTAATATGCTTTAAAATTTAAAATTTAAAAAGGCTTATTATTGTTTGCTTCTTACGGAAATTTTATTTGAAAAAAGGAGAAGGGATTGGGAATGACTCAGAAAAAATCGAGATAGCAAATTTTTTTAGGAATGATATATCAGACTATTTGGTAGATAAATTTAAAATTTACAACTGGAAGCTGCAAGAATAGTTACGGTATGAATACAATAGCAACTATCGTTAGAAACAACGAGACGGGATTGAAAAAAAATACAAATATAAGCAAACATAATCCTTTTAAATTTATTTGTCTTCTTGCCATTCATTTGTAAGATATGAATGTCTTTGTTAAAACTGCTTAAAGAAATTATAGTGAGGGTTTTGTTTTATAAGATGGTCAAATTCTAAGGACATATACTAAATGATCAAAATTCTAAAACTTTTGACAATAAATAAACGTATGAAGTATGAAAGTGAACTGTTATTATATTTTTTTTACCTGCTATGTTAAACATATTACCATTAGCCAAGCATATAATTTGTAAAAAGAAATGTTTGTTCTGTTCAATTTATGGAAAGTCATGTTGCCTTTGTTTCATAGTAGATCCTCCCAAAAGCGTAT